TTTCAGGTCCTCTACTGTGGTAACTTTGCTCCCTTCAATCCACCTGTAATTTCATTGCCTCAATATTTGGGCTAGGATTTTCCTCAGAACTCCCTCCCTGTGTCTGACTATCTCCTGTGGCTTTCACTGTTTTCTGTGGTGGTGCCATTTCTGACAGGAATTTTTCCTCCAACTCGCTCACTCTTTATACTGCAGTGTCCTTTTCTTATCTTGTGCCTGTCTGACACTTATTTCGGGGTGTTTTCTCGAAATCCCACCGCTGCCACCAATATGACACGAACCCCCTTTATACTGCCAGTTCTGTTAGGGTCTGCGTGTCCGGACCTAGTCAGAGTTAGACTTTATTTTTTCCCTGACCAGTCCCCTACACAAATCTGCAAAAGTCTCTTCGGGGGATTTGTTTTACTTATTAAAGAGTCAGGCACCACGGCTTGTTAACTTCAAAACAGAACAGGCTTTATTTATAGAAAACACAACGGGGGGGATGGAAGATATATACAGAGGATAATTTGTTTCTTTTCAGACTTGAACTTTTGGCTTGGTTTACACTTCAGCAGTTGTTGTTTCCAGTATCCCACAGATGTTAAACAATTCCCTAAACACCTTCCTAATCATACGCTCCTGTACTGCTTTGTGGTTAACCTTTGGCTTTCGAGGTCTGGCTCCCTTTTGAGCCCAACTGGCCACCAACCAGTTGTGCTGACTCTGCCAGACCGTTCCTCTGCCCTCTCTTAACCACCTCTCCCAGTTCCTTTAGGAGCAATGCATTTGGGTGTTTGTGACAACTGATGTGTTTAACCTTTCACCAGTCTGATCACTGTCCTCTTTCCTATATTGAGGGACTCAGTAATCCAGACTATTCAGCCCCAGTTATCTGTTCCAACTGTTATTAGGCTGTTCACACAGAGCTACAGAGGTTTGCCTCCTTCACAGAGCTCCTCAGTTTTTCTGACTGCTCTCTGCTAACTCCACTCAACAACCCTCCACTAACTGCTTCTTTCCAACTGCTCATCCCAAACTGACTGTTTGGTCCAGTACATGCCAATCACTGAGGGTTCCAAGCTAAATGGCCCCCTCCTCACTCAGTCATGTGACTCAGCAGTGTTCTGTGTTTACTTTCTGCTGGTCCCAGATTTTTCAATTCCGCTATACTGCTATATTCGCACCTCCCTCTGTGGTCCTTAGATATCTCCCCAGCATGTTGGTTCCTGTCCTGGTCCCTGACTAGCAGACATCTGGTAACTATTTCTAGCCCTATCCTGGTTCATGTGTTCATCCAGTCCTGTTTAACAGGGTGATTTATTTAGTAGTGGGGGGGAACAGAGAGATTAACATATTGTGTAGGTGTCCCCTAAAATAAATGTAGCTGGATATGGTTTTCTGATCTCTTGATGACTCACATAAGTATAATGCCAGGTTGCTTGTGATGCTACTGGAGGGTCATTCTAGCTACACTGAAGAAAAATGTGATTGTATTGAAAAGAATTCTGAGAGTATTATGTAACATACCATTGGTTTGTTGTTTTAAAGTTGTTTTTAGTTGTATTATATTATATCAATACTGATGGCACCTGCCCTGAGCCTGCTAGTGGGGAGGGCAGGATATAAAACCAATAAAATAAAAATAGATAAATAAAAATATAATGAGTTAAGGTCAAATATTTGAGTAGAAGCTGTTTTATTATCATTTTGGTCAATGATTGAAATTAACAGACTCGTTTAGCTTTATTGATGTGTAGATAGGGCTGTGCCCATTGTTTTCTAAAACAGTTTAATACAAGCTAAGGAATAATAACTGGAACCTTTTTTGCTTGAAAAATTGTGCAACTAATATTCCTGCAAAACTGGAGCTGTTATAAGTTTTAATTAGAAAATAAATTATAATTTGTGAGAATTCATGAAATTTGGTGTAGTATCTTAAGTTTTTATTTCTAAAAGCAAAACTTGATATTTTTCACATAGTTTTTCCTGTATTTGTTTAATAAACAGTGCAGTTCTAAACAGAGTTATGGCCTTCTGAGCCCATCAGTAGCTATGCTTAATATGGCACTGTTTCACTAAATATTTTGGCAGCACACGTTGTAATATGATTTCACATTCCCTTTCTTATAAATTAGATGCATCAAATGTTCTGGTGATTGGCACAGAAAACTCAATGAAAGAGTGTTTTTTAGAGTGTGATCCTGGGATGATCTTTTTTTTCAGGTAAGCAAAGCTGATCAGCAAAATGCACGGGAATTACATTTTTTAATACTAAAACAAGCTTAACACTTCAGGTTTAAACAAGTAATTGGCTTTTATGAAGTCACTTTTATGAAGCTTCAAAAGAAAAAGTGAGCAGTTTGGGTTTTTCTTTTTAAAATCAGTACAGTGAAGAAGAAAAGGGCAACCTAGTGAATTGCACAAGGGTGGGCTGTTTATAAAATGACCCTAGATCATTAAACCCATAGGTTTATTTTATTTATATTTATTTTGATGTAATTTTTATTTTATTTTGATTTAATCAAGTATCTGGCTTTAATATTTCAGTGAACTATTTAAACAGTTTCATCAGTTGACAGCCATAGGAAAGAGAACTACTGCTTGCCAAGTATTTATTTATTTTAAAAACTTGCACACCACTTTTCTAGTGTCTTGCTTGAGGTAGCTCACAAAGGGTGACAATACAACAAAAATAATAAAAATATTAAAAATCAATAATAGACATTAAAAGTAAGCTAAGGCATACAATTTCCTAAAAATAACAGTCATAAACAGTCCTCAGGCCAGGAGCAGGCCATAAAAACAACTAAAAACATGAGAGCCCTCAGCTGAACCCTGGGTTAAAAACAAAGCTTTGGCCTGGTGCCTATAAGATAATAAGGCAAATAAACCCAGTCTGTAGTCACCACCTGCCTCTGCTCTGTAAACCTGGGGAGCTGGGCTTCAGTATGAAATCTTAGCCGTTGGCCTGGACAGTATTGGGAGGATGTCTCTGACACAGCAGTGATAGGGTTTCTGTATTCAGTCTTTGATAATCACCTGGTCACTATGTTTGGGATCTGGAGAAGTTTCCAGACAGTTCTTAAAGGCAGCCCCATGTAAAGTGAATTACAGTACTCACCTGGATGTAATCAGAGTATGGATCACCATGGCCAGATCACAGTTTCTTGAATGGCCAAAGCTAGCGTATCAGAAGAAGAGCTGGTTTTTATACACTTTTCTCTGCCCTAAGGAGTCTCAAAGCGGCTTACAATTGCCTTCCCTTCCTCTCCCCACAACAGGCACCCTGTGAGGTAGGTGGGGCTGAGAGAGTTCTGAGAGAACTGTGTCTGGCCCAAGGTCACCAAACAGGCTTCATGTGGAGGAGTGGGGAATCAAATCCAGTTCTCCAGATTAGAGTCCGCTGCTCTTAACCACTACACCACGCTGATAAAAAGAACTGTGTGCCACAGAAGACACCTGTATCTCCAACTGTAGGCCAGGATGAAGCATCATCCCCATGTTATGAAATTCCTCCTTCAGGGAGAATGCAACCCCTTCCGGGACAGGCTGACTGTTTCTTGAGTAGTTTTGTTATTGACCAGCAGCACTTCAATCTTGACTGGATTGAGTTTTAGTTTATTGGCCCTGGCTAACTTTCCCAGAAGGATAGCATGACTTATAGTATTGGAAGCCACAAAAGGAAAACCCAAGTAATGTTTGAGCATGAAATGTATGTAAACCTAAAACTTCCTTGCAATTCTATTAATACAGGGAAGGGTCTGTTGTCTTCTGGAATGTTGAAGAGAAAACGGTAAGTAGAAACCACATGGTGTGTGCAAAAGTATGAATCTAAAGGCCTGATCGTTTTAATATGTTTAGTGATTGTAAATTAGTTTTCCAAGGCAAGATAAGATCCAAAGGTAAGATCTTATAGTGCAGAGAAACCTCACAGCTTGGGTTCTTAAGGTAGGGAACAGTTGTAAGGAAACATGGAGTATCTGTTTGAGAAGGAAGGAGGAAGAAGCTTTTTGAAATCAAGAAGTGCTTTGAAGGAAGGCAAGGGCTGATCTGACTTGGAATCTTGGGAGCTAACTGTAAGCAATGAACAAACATAATGAAGAACACCTAAAATATTTTTCATGTACACATATATATGCCATATATATTGAACTATCAGTGCTGTAGAGAGCTTTAAAAGAACTACTGGTGAGTGTCGTTGCAGTTACCAAAAATCAAAAGTTTGTGCCGCATTTAATCATCTATCTGTAGACTACAGTACAATATCTACTGGTTTTATTAGAATTCTTACTTGCCATATAGGAAAGGCAGTGATATTTCCGTTGTACATTTTCCCCTGGGCTTGCTTCAATCATACTTTTGAATGAAGCAATTCAGGATACAATTTGTGCTGCAACTTGATGATTAAAAATTAAGCTATACTTTGGAGAGGAGAATGGGGATTGATAATACTTTGGAAGGACTTTGCCAGTAGAGAGCACTGTGTGTTGCCTCAGCAAATTCAGGTTTTCCAACATTATATTTGGTTGGGTGATGTGAGTGCAGAGTCAAAAAAAGTATTTATATTGGAGAATCAGCATGAGGCAGGGATGCTTAACTCCCTTACACCCACTGATGTTCCCTGCCATCCTTCATTTCCAGAATGGTGTTGGGAAACTAATAACAATGGGCCGAGTGATCATTTGCAGGTGAGAACTGACAGTAAGGGAAAGGCTAAGCATCAGCTCCTGTCTAGTAGTTCTTCTGTGTAAATGAGGAAGCCATGCAGTTTGGAGTCTTGTGTTTTCTTTTTAATTTGTGGTTCTGTCCAGTGACTCTGCATTCTCACAGTGGAATTCAAGCCTCATGACCTGAATTTGTATAGGATGATTCCATTGTATTTCCTAGATGAAGAATATAATGCAAGTGCTGGAAAAGCATGAAATTCAGCCATATGAAGTTGCTCTGATTTATTGGGAGAATGAAGAGATTAACTACAGAAGAGGAGAGTAAGTATGTGTAAGTAATGCATACAGTTGACAATCTAAACCAGTGGTGTCAAACATGTGGCTTGGGGGCCGGATCAGGCCTCTGGAGGGCTTCTGTCAGGCCCACAGTAGAACTGGCTGTCTCCTGCTTCTTCTTCCAGTTCTGCTGCTGCTGTATCACTGTAGCTTGCTTTGCCAAACTGAGTCACTCAGGAGAGGTAGATAGGCAAACTTCTCTTCCCTGCACTGGCCGAGGCTCCTCCCCCTCCCCCTTCTAGGGGGAGGGAGGGAACAAGCTAGAGCTTGTTTCCTGGCCAAGCTGCCTCAATTGCACAGGAGAGAAAGGCAAGCCTTTCTTCCCTTCCATTGACTGAGGCTCCTCCCAGGAGGGAGAGCTTGCTTTGCTTGGCTGCCTCAATCACATGGGAGAAATACAAAGCATCTTTAAGACCAACAAAGTTTTATCCAAGGTATGAGCTTTTGTGTGCCTTCCTACAGTGTGTGTGTGTTTTGTTGGGCTTGTTATGCTGTGGCTCTCCTGGGTGCAACTGGGTTCCCTCCCCCTTTTCACTGTATTCATGCCCTCATGATCCAGTCTTGCTCAGTAGGAAAGCAATATGAATTATTTAGATGAGGAATAACAACAAGCCAGTGAGGTGGATTAGGCTCAGAGTGTGTGTCCAGACCAAGTTCACACAGCACATTTCCTTTGTGGGATTTTGAATTTAGATTTCCCAGATAGTAGGCTGATACTGACCACTGAGAAAGAGTATAGTTTTGTAGACAAACACATAGCCCTCAGCCTGTGTCATGGTACCTTCTTATGTTCTTGACCAGCACATGAAGCAATTTATGTCAAAAAGCTCACAATGTCCAGCCATTTCATGTATTCCCCTGGGCCCTAGGCTCAGAACTCTGAGCATGAGATTTCTGTAGTGAATGTCAATAAATCAAAAGTTGGTTTGCAGCTTACAGATACACACTTGAACAGCATACTCAAAATTGCAACAGCACAGACATTTTGATGCAATAATTCAGAGCATGAGGTGTCAGTTATCAGACACTGTTAAATAAACAAAATATTGCAAGAGGGCTAATGTTTCTAGTTAAAAAAAGTGTTTGTGTCCTTTATAAAGTTTATAATATCCGCTACTTGGCATTACCTTTTATGACACACATGGCCCGGCCCAACAAGGTCTCATTTATGGCAGATCTAGCCCGCATAACAAATGAGTTCAACACCCCTGATCTAAACCAATGAGTAAAAGCAGCATCTTCTCGCATACATTTTCTTCCTAAGTGTATTATCCAGTATCCATCCTTCTCTTCCAGAGCATCTAGGTGTCCTATAACCTTCTAAATGTAGCTACATTCATAACTTCTTTGTGAAGTAAAAAACTATTGCTATCTACCTCTTTCAGATAAAAGATGCATAAAAGCCAAATCTCAAAAGAAATTCAGTACTGAGTAGAGTTACTGTGTCCTGGGCTGTGCCACACAACCAGTGAGGCAGCATACCTGTATATTCACCAGTTTCACAAGTAAAGACTATTCTCAAATAATAGTAATTATAGTGGGTTTATATTTGTACTCCACTTTTACAAACTGCATGATTTTTGCTTCCTAGCATTCCTTGACATTTCATTATGTTTAGTGAACATCCTTCTCTGGTTAACCATTCACCCAGTGTTCATCATTCGGATACAAGGTGCATGTTTTAGTAAATTGGTCAAGTTGGGTGGAGGGCTTCATTTTTGGTAAATTAAGGTGGTGCCCAGGCTAGCCCAGTCTCTTCACATCTCAGAAGCTAAGCAGGGTTGGCCCTGGAAAAGTATTTGGATGGGAGACCTCCAAGGAATACCAGAGTCGTGATGTGGAGGCAGGCAATGGCAAACCACCTCTGAATGTCTCTTGCCTTGAAAACCCTACATGGTCACCATAAATCAGCTGTGACTCGATGGCACTTTCCACCATGAAATTAAGTCGTCAGAAACGTTAAGAATTGGTATGGGGCCCTGACCTGGATAGCCCAGGCAAGCCTGATCTCTTCAGATCTTGGAAGCTAAGCAGGGTCGACTCTGGCAAGTACTTGGATGCGAGACCTCCTTGGAATACCAGCAGTCGGGAGATGGGGGCAGGCTTTATTCAGCCACCTCTCTGAATACTCTCTAGGCCCCCAGTAGGGGTCAGTCACCAGAGGTCACCATGACTTCCAGGTGCACACACACACCTGCACATATGAAAAATACAAAAAAAAAAGCCCCAAAAAATTGGTATGGGAAGTCTTTTAATGCCATGTGATAACTCTTGGGTTTTTTAACTGTAAATTTATATCAGACTTCAAAAACAATTTTAAATCTATATTAAGATTTTGTCCAACATGCAGATTTATTTAAATAATCTGGCTTTAAAAGCAATACAGCCTTTAATAGAGGACAACTCTGGAAACCATCATAGTAACTGTTGTTAACTGGCATCCATGGAAATAGGGCTTGCTGATTTAAAAAAATCTTTTGCCCAGCCACAAAAGGGCATCAGAGTCAAGTAGGCAGTGGCCATGCCTTAGATCTGACTGAGGCCCACAGCCTGCTCCAGGGGTGTCTGCTTGGCACTTCTCCCCTCTTACCACTGCCCCACCTGAGTCACATGGGGATCTGCTGCGAGAGTGCAGCATTGCTGTGTAGGCAGCATGCTTTGATTCAGGTGGGCCTTGGGCCCTGGGTTATAAACCTGTGTTACCCAAGTATTCTGGTTAACAGAGTTTTTACAGTAGTACTTCTATTGCACTCCACTCTGGATTTTTGAAGGTTCTGTTTATTTTCAGGAGACCTTCTTATAGTGGAAATGAGAACTCTGAATGGCTTCTCCTTTCTTTCACCCGGCTACTAGAGAGCTCTTCAGAACTATTTACTCAAAGTAGTGTCCATTGATCACACATCTTCAAATGGTTCACATTTATTTATTTATTTTTGACATTTTTACCTGGCCCTCCCCGCGAGCGGGCTTTGCTTTGTCTTGTACCACTAATTATCATGGTGATGCAGCTCCTCTATTGAAATGGCTTAGTAGGTCCCAGATAGTGAGAGGGAGGACTGGAAGGGATGAGCCACTGCTTAGCTGTAGTGGGCCTTTCTTATATGCCCAGGGTAATGCTGGTCACCATTTTGCGGTCAAGAAAGACTTTTTCTCCAGGCCAGATTGGGCCAGGGATCCTGGAGGTTTTTTGCCTTCCTCTGGGCATAGAGCAGGGATCAGGGGCGTGGCTGTGAATTTCCTGCATTGTGCAAGGGGTTGGATTAGATGACCCTTGGAATCCCTTCCAGCTGTATGTTTCTGTGTTCCCTCTGCATGCAGGTGGTGAATTGTTTATTTATATTTACTTATTTAAAACATATTACTCCTGCTTTTCTACCCAGTTAGGGTACTGGTCCATCTAGTCCAGCATCCTGTCTCACACAGTAGCCAGCAACAGGGCAGAGAGACCGGTGCCTTCCCCTGATGCTGTCTCCTGGCTCTGGGATTCAGAGGCTTAGTACCTCTGAATGTGGAGGTTTTCCCCAGTCACCATGACTAGTAGCCACTGGTAGACTTATCCTCCATGAATCTATCTAGTTCCCTTTTAAAGCTATTTATTCCTGTGGCCATCACTACATCTTCTGAGAGCAAATTCCACATTTTAATCTCTCTCAGTGTAATGTAGTATTTCCTTTTGTCCGTCCTGAACCTACTGCCCATCAGTTTTATTGGATGCCCTCGAGTGCTAGTATTTTGGGAGAGGGAGAAAATTTTCTTTGTCAGCTCTCTCCATAGGAAAGGTGCTCCAACTCCCTAGAATCATCTTGGTTGCCCTCCTTTGTACTTTTTCCAGCTTTGGAATGTCCTTTTGGAGATACGGTGATCAGAACTGTACATGGGGAGATGGTAGAGTATTCCAAATGAGACTGTACCATAGATCTATACAGGGGCATTATAATATTGCCCGTTTTATTCTCAATCCCTTTCCTAATAATCTCTAACATAGAGTTTGCGTTTTTCACTGCCACAGCACACTGGGTTGGTACTTTCATTGTATGACCCCAAGATATTTTCCCCCCTCAGTCTCAGCAAGTTCAGTCCCCATTAGCTTATACTTGAAGTCAGGGGTCATTTCCTGCAGGAGCGCAGCTCTGGCAGTAAAGAGCCCAGGGGGCAGGCACATGCAACAAGCCCCACCCTATGCTCCCAGCAGCCCTCAGTCAGAGCAAGAAGCAGCAAGGTAAGTTGCAGAGCCCCCCCTAGCCCCCCAGTCCAAAACACTCCAGTGGCACCTTTAAGACCAAGTTTTATTCAGGTACAAGCTCTCCCTCCTCTGCAAGGACAGATCTGCACGTTCCCCCCCCCCCCAATAGCTAGCAATCCGAAACAGTCCAGTGGAGCCTGAGCGGTGGGTGTTGCCTTCTGACACACTTCCGGTGATGTCAGGGTGTGTGGCATATGCAAATGGGTTATGCTAATGAGCTCCTTCACCTCTTTTTCTTCGAAATGACCCCTGCTTGAAGTTGGGATTTTTTGTCCCAGTATACATCACCTTGCCAACACTGAATTTCATTTGCCACTTTGTGGCCCACTCATCCAGTTTGTGGAGGTCCTCTTGGAGCTCTTCACAGTCAGCCTTGGTTTTCACCATCCTGAATAATTTTGTGTCATATGCAAACTTGGCCACTACAATACTCACCCCTAGTTCCAGATAATTTATAAATAAATAGTACCAGCCCCTGTACCATGTCAAAAACTTTTGAAAGTCCAGCTATATAATGTCTGCCGGGTCACCATTATCTACATGCTTGTTCACTTTCTCAAAGAACTCCAAAAGGTTGGTGAGGCAGGACTTACCTTTTGTAGAAACCTTGCTGATTTTCCCTCAGCAGGCTTTGTCCCTCTATGTGCCTAACAATTATATTTTCAATGACAGTTTTTACTAATTTGCCTGGGATAGACATTAGGCTGACTGGCCTGTAATTTCTTGCTTCCCCTCTGGATTG